TTCTGTTTCCCAACAATGTCTCGTTTTACATTTTTCTTTTCACAACTTTTGGAATCCTTTTACTTTTCACTCAGCTCTCCTTTTCCCCAAACAACATGTCTTTTGCTCAGATTAAATTCATTTTCCGAAAGGAACAAATACATGATTATTTTCCAGAGGCAGTTTCATTTGAAAAGAAAACTAAGGCCGGGCGCGGTGGCTCAAGCCTGTAATCCCAGCACTTTGGGAGGCCGAGGCGGGTGGATCACGAGGTCGAGAGATGGAGACCAACCTGGTCAACAGGGTGAAACCCCGTCTCTACTAAAAATACCAAAAATTAGCTGGGCATGGTGGCGCGTGCCTGTAATCCCAGCTATTCAGGAGGCTGAGGCAGGAGAATTGCCTGAACCCAGGAGGCGGAGGTTGCGGTGAGCCGAGATCGCGCCATTGCACTCCAGCCTGGGTAACAAGAGCGAAACTCCGTCTCAAAAAAAAAAAAAAAAAGAAAAGAAAACTATTTCCTAAATAAATCTCTAATTGGCCAAATTTCAGACCATCTAACAATCTCACTAGATTTCAAGTCTTTTTCATGTCTCTTAAAACATATTCCTAGGTAATTGTCTAGTACGGTGGCTTTTCAAACTTTTAAAAGCCACTGAATTTTTTCTTCAAACAAAATTAGGCAGCAGCTCAGTAAGCAAAAGAGCTAAGAGGCTAAAGTACTGGGCTAAACGGGGATGGGGGCCCAGGATCCTCCCTACTCACCTCTGCTCCTCTCCACCAGCCACTGCTGCAGAAGAACACACCCCAGAACAACTCCAGCAAAAGGCCAGCCCATTTTTACACCCAAATACACACACATAAGGTGAAAGAATAGATGATTCGCAAGTAGAGAGCCCATTCTCAGGCATCCAAAAGGAGTCTGTAGATGTCTGTTGCCATAATAAATCACATTCACATATTTAAAAACATTTTGAGAATGTGGCAAAACAAGAAGTGAATGGAGTGAAACATCTCAGGTTTGAAACTTTCGTGTGTGATGTGGTTGTGTTGTGAAACAAATATGGTCAACTAAGTGTGTTCTTGAGGCCAACATCCCTATTACTAGCTCCTTTAGAAGTGGTTTTCCCCTTATTTGGGTTTTCCCTTATTCAACCTTTAAATTTCATCCAACCACCAAAATAATTTTCTCCTCTGAAACAAGAGTTCCAGGGGCATTTTCCTAGCGAAAAACAATGTGGAAGATGGCCTCCAGAAAGGCCATGCTCTTCCTCTTTCTCTTGGTCTCCAGGTCTGCCTTTCCCACCCCACAGGAACCTCACACCCGACAGCACCTAAACAGACACTGTGAACTTCCTTCAAAGTTTATCCCTCCTCGGGAGGCGAGGTTGGGAAAAAAAAAATTAAAAAATAAAGTAAAATAAAAAAGGTTGTCCCTCCTCCAAGTTAATGGTTCTACCTCCTATCCAGTCATGAAGCTAAAAGTCACCCTAAAGACAGCAGCCATTAAATTACTGGGGCTCTAAGGTAGGCATATCATGAAGATGAGGATTTTTCAACTTCAATGCTATTGACACTTGGGGCAGGACATCTCTTTGTCATGTGGGCCTATTCTGTGCATTGTAAGATGTTTAGCAGCATCCCAGGCCTTTATACACTAGATGTTAGTAGCACCTACCCTCTGTGAGGCTTCACAATCAAAAATATCTCCAGGCGTTGCCAGATATCTGCTAGAGGAAAAATCAGCTCCATTTGCGAACCATTGATGTGGACGATCTCTATTCCTCATAATACCCACATGAAGCAGAGTAGGAAACTGGGCCTCTGGAGGAATTAAGAGACTTGGACTTGGTTGTGTGACCAGTATGCGGCAGAGCTGGTTTCAAAGTACTGCAAAAGCCATCTCCCCTTCTCCTGCCTCCTTCCAGTACTTAATTCTCCCTTTCATCTAGTTTTTATCTATGCTAATCTCTCATGTGAAATGCTTTTTATGTTTTATTTATTTGTTTTGTAGAGATGAGGTCTTAGCATGTTGCCCAGGCTGGCCTTAAACTCCTAGCCTCCGGTGATCCTCCTGCCTCAGCATCCAAAAGTGCTGGGATTATAGGGGTGAGCAACTGAGCCTGGCCTATGTGAAATGTCTTAATTTTGCTTCCTGCTTTCCGGATTGACTTAGCTCAGATCTGTATTTCCTTCCTAGATATAATTAGGCTCTGAATTTATCTTCCTGATTCAGTCTCTTTATCTTTCAATCTCTGTATCACACTGTTAGTAGCTAACGTTGTCAGACAGATATTACTGCATAACTGCCCTATTGAGAAACTTCCTGTGCCTTCCCCACTGCCTGCAACAGTGGTTCCCAAAGGGTGATCCTGAGACAGGCGTCAATGGTATCAACTGGAAATTTCTTAGAAATGCAAATCCTGGGGCCGGGCGCAGTGGCTCAAGCCTGTAATCCCAGCACTTTGGGAGGCCGAGGCGGGTGGATCACGAGGTCAAGAGATCGAGACCATCCTGGTCAACATGGTGAAACCCCGTCTCTACTAAAAATACAAAAAATAAGCTGGGCATGGTGGCGCGTGCCTGTAATCCCAGCTACTCAGGAGGCTGAGGCAGGAGAATTGCTTGAACCCAGGAGGCGGAGGTTTCGGTGAGCCGAGATCGCGCCATTGCACTAAAAAAAAAAAAAAAAAAAAAAAGAAAGAAATGCAAATCCTTGGGCCCCATTGCAGACCTGAATCCGAAACTCTTTTTTTTTTTTTTTTTTTTTTTTGAGACAGAGTCTCTCTCTGTCACCCAGGCTGGAGAGCATGCAGTGGCATGATCTCAGCTCACTGCAACCTCTGCCTTTTGGGTTCAAGCGATTCTCGTGTCTCAGCCCCCATGGTAGCTGGGATTACAGGCATCTGCCACTACGCCTAGCTAAGGTTTAGTAGAGGCAGGGTATAGTCATGTTGGCCAGGCTGGTCTTGAACTCCTGACCTCAGGTGATCCTCCTGCCCCGGCCTCCTAAAGTGCTGGGATTACAGGTATGAGCCACTGTGCCTGTCCATAAATCAGTTTTAAAACACCTTCTACCAAATGGTTCAGATGCTTACGGAAATTTGTGAAACTCTGGCCTAATCTACAAAACTCTAATGCCTTAGGATCGCATAGAAACCCTGACTGCCGCCGGGCACGGTGGCTCAAGCCTGTAATCCCAGCACTTTGGGAGGCCGAGGCGGGTGGATCACGAGGTCGAAAGATCGAGACCATCCTGGTCAACATAGTGAAACCCCGTCTCTACTAAAAATACAAAAAAAAACTAGCTGGGCGTGGTGGCGCGTGCCTGTAATCCCAGCTACTCAGGAGGCTGAGGCAGGAGAATTGCCTGAGCCCAGGAGGCGGAGGCTGCGGTGAGCCGAGATCGCGCCATTGCACTCCAGCCTGGGTAACAAGAGCGAAACTCCGTCTCAAAAAAAAAAAAAAAAAAAAAGAAACCCTGACTGCCTTTCCTACCATGATCCTTGTTATTATTTTCTACTCTCCTGTCCCAGCCTTGCCCACCCTTCAATTTCATTCTTTTGTTAGCTATCAAACCTGCATTTGTCTTTCTGTTCTAAGCACCAGTAATGTAAGGAAGACAGTCCAGCTCCTAAGTGCCTTGCTGACCTAAGGCTGTGGTGCTCCAGCCACATGACAAACCCTGGAATTAAGTACACACCATGTAATTTTAAAGTGACAAGCCTGCCATAGCATAGCATCTCCTTCTTCCTGGTGAATTCCTATGTCTTTGATGGCTCATTCTCAAATGTCCCTTTTCCTGACTTACTCAGAAGGCTAATCCCTAGGTTCCCTGTGCCTCCACAGCTGTCATTTCATTTATCACAAAGTGGCATTCCCGTTTACCTGTCTCCTAGAATACTGCCAGAATGCAGGTAATGTGAGGGAGGAGCCTTCACTCTTCACTCCTCTTTGTGTAGGACAGCATTGTGACACTGGCAATAACCCCGGCACACCTCAGAATCATCTCAGAGCTTTTCAAAAATATGAATGCCAGAGTTCACCCGTGGACCTACAGAAACTGAGTCTTGCAAATCCATATATATAAATATATATATATATATATTTAGATGGAGTTTCGCTCTCATTGCCCAGGCTGAAGTGCAATGGCACAATCTTGGCTCACCACAACCTCCGCCTCCTGGTTCGAGCGATTCTCCTGCCTCAGCCTCCCAAGTAGCTGGGATTACAGGCATGTGTCACCATGCCTGGCTAACTTTGTATTTTCAGTAGAGACGAGGTTTCTCCATGTTGGTCAGGCTGGTCTCGAACTCCTGACCTCAGGTGATCCACCTGCCTTGGCCTCCCAAAGTGCTGGGATTACAGGTGTGAGCCACTGTGCCTGGCCACAAATCCATATTTTTAAATGGCCCCACATCACCATTGCACACTGCTCTGCACAGAGTAGGTATTTAATAGTTCTCGAATGTCTAGTTAATTACTTAGCAAGGCTGCCTGGAGAATCATGTCTACCTTGCTTCTCCGTCTTTGTGGGTTTTTGGTTTTTGTTTTCTTTTGATTTCAGTTTCCATTTCCTGTAACTTGAAAGTATCTACATTGGTAACAGCCACACAGCAGTCATTCCTGATAAAAGGCAACATTTTGTTGAGATGATTTTAGCTCCTGACCTAATCTCTGGTATTTTAAGGTTAATATTTTTTTACAGTCTCAAATATCCAGCGGTAACCTTAAATTAGAGTTATCTGTTAAACAGTTTCTCAAGTATCTTTCAGGATTGCAGTCACTTTACGGGCTAATCGCTCAACAAGTGTCCGTGGCTGGTCACAGTTATTCTAATTAACCTCTAAGGTGATTGTGAGACTTTAAAGGGTCTCACCTGTAGGAACCAAGCCAGCTCAAGTCAACATCCCACCAGCTGTTAACCCGCGGTAAGGCGGGAGGGCGCCTCAGTGGAGAAAGGATGGGGAAGTTCTCTGGGGCGGGCGCAGTCTGCAGTTGATACCGAGAAACCGAAACTCAGCTGTTAAAACCGCTGCCCTTGCACTTTGGAATCGCATCTCGAGACTCGCTAGGCGCCCCAGCCGCATCCCTCCAGCAGCGGCCGGCGGCCCGGGACCCGCGGGCTGTGAACCATGTACACCCGCAGCAGAGCGGTGAGCTCCGGGCTCGGCGCCTCCCCTGCCTCCCGCCCGGCCCGGGACCCCCGGGACCCTTACGGGCGGCACGGGGAGCTGGGCCCGCTGCAAGACCAGAGACAGGGTTTGGAGGCAGCCCCCGAGAACCCTTCGCGGGAGAGCATCGTGCAAGCCGGTCAGAGGCAGTAAGTGTTTTAACAACCTGTCTTGGGGGCGGGAGCCCGGGCCCCAAACATACTCACAAACACCTTCATGGTCCTAGGAGTTTGAAACCACAGGGATTTTGACTGAATGAAAAAGCTCCTTTGCTTTAATGAAAGCATTCATGCCTTTCCTTATAAGTTGAGTCGGCTAGTTTACAGACCTTTAGTAAATATTCAGGCCGGTTCCTTCCAGGAACATTACTCTCCTGACTTTGGTAACTGACGGCAGAATTGAAAGATACGGTGTTTAGAAACCGCCTAGGCATCCAGTAAGATGTCATTTTCCAGGTATCTCCAGAACTCATACTCCAACCGTATGGAAATAGGTTTTCCCTTACTGTTTTTAAAAACTTGGTGCCTGGTAGGGCGCGTTGACTCAAGCCTGTAATCCCAGCACTTTGGGAGGCCAGGGCGGGCGGAACACCTAAGGTCAGGAATTCGAAACCAGCCTGGCCAATATGGTGAAACCCCGTCTTTACCAAAAATAAAAAATGAGCTGCATATGGTAGCACGCACCTGTAGCCCCAGCTACTTCGGAGGCTGAGGTAGAAGAATCGCTTGAACCTAGGAGGCGGAGGTTGCAGTGAGCCGAGGTCACACCATTGCACTCCAGCTTGGGCAACAGAGCGAGACTCTGTCTCAAAACAAAACAAAATAACAAAGCTTGGTGCCCTAAATGAATTACTACATCAGACACTAACAGGTAAGGGTCAACAGGAAATGTGACATGGTATAGAAAATTCAAATTCTGCCTCTAGCTAGGAGCAAGCCTAAATCCCAGCAAGACTCCCAGATAAACTAGCCTCTTACAACCAGAGGACTGGAGCTGAAAGAGTGAGGAGGTGAGTGACAGTAGTATCTCTGTCCCAGTTGATGTGTGCTCTATGCAGCAAAAGATAGGTAGCGTTTATTCCTGGCTTTTGGTTCAAGGACTGCAGTGAGTATTTGGGAAACATTTATTATTCAAGTGTCATGGGCCTCTCTTTCCACCCAATGGAATGAACTTCTTTAAGTCAACAGTATGGTTTATCACAATGTCACTGCCTTTAAAGTGCTGCCTCTGTGAACTGGAACTGTCCAAATGGTTTTATTTTTAGTGTCTCCTTTTTCATCAACTTCTAGTCGTGTGAAAGACAAACCCTGGTTGCTAAGAAACAGTATATAACCTTATGACTGATAAACAGCAGATTTTCTTTCATCCCTTAGCTTTTGAAAGTACCAGGCCTTTAATATTATTATTCAGCTTAGGTTCACCCTTATATGGGGCAGATAAGCTGGAAATCAATTAGAGATTGTTAAGTTTCTCTCCTCCTCAGAATAATTGGTGTCTCACCACAATAGAAGCAGGCCTTTACTTTGAAATACACACACTATAGTACTTAACAGTAACAAAGGTCGTAGACATATGGTATCATGTCCATGAGTAGTTAATGATTAATACCATTTGCATGACTTTTTAAAAAGCATTTGTTTAGATCTAACCATTTATTTGTAAGCTCATATCATCACCTAAGTATTAACAGTTGCATCTATCTGTTTTCTTATTTGGTTGTAATTACCCTGGAATCTTGCTAGAGCAAATTGCTCAGAAAGAGACAGTTTTCTGATTGATAATCTGGGTCTTAAAACCCTGCAATTCCTAAAAGGATTTTCAAATAAACCATTAAAAAATACCCGGAAGAGTTTAGTTATCTCTCACAGAGTCTTCCTTTTTTTTTTTTTTTTTTTTTCATGTGAACCAGTTGCAGTAAGTATAGAATTATATATTCCCTTTTAGGGGTTTGATGTCTGAGATCCTGTTTGGATGAACTTTTAATTCTTCTCGCATCTCCATTAGTTACTTAGATTCACTTTCTCAAAATTTGTTTCCTTTAATGGAGTTGGAAAACCAAGGAAAACGAATGGCAAATAATATCTCAGTAGAATTACCTCCCTGCCCCCTGCCTCAAAATAAAGGCGGCATTATTTATTTTTGGATACATATTAGCACTTTCTGATTTAAAAAAATTAAGAAAAAAAGAGGATAGAGTTAATGCTTTAATAGTACAGCTTCATTTGTTCGCTCATAATGTGAACTTATTTATACGGTAAAGCATTTGTCTGGTTTTGTGTGTATCCTTCCATTAATTTCCTCATGCAGCCCCCGTGTGGGGATTAGGAACATGGACTCTGATGCCAGGTGGACCTGCGTTCAAGTTCTGATTATGCTGTCATTTTCTCTTGAACAAGATCCTTAGCTACTTTACGCCTCAGTTTTCTCATTACTGAATATGAGACAATATCAATTTCATAGGGTTTTAATTTTTCCAGGTGTGTATGCATAAAACATAACTTTGTGCATGGTAAAGTACTATGCCGTCACCCTTAAGTTGAGTGTTTGTGTCCTGTTAAACACACACATACACATATACACACAGGTTTAAAACACCTGCTTGTATGGTCAGGGATAGGGGCTCATGCCTATAACCGCAGCACTTTGGGAAGGCAATGTGGGAAGATTACTTGGGTCCAGGAGTAACATAGGGAGATCCTTGTCTCCACAAAGAAAAAAATTAGCCGGGTGGTGGCAGGCACCTGTAATCCCAGCTGCTCAGGAGGCTGAGGCAGAGAATTACTTGAACCAAGATTACACCACTGCACTCCTTCCTGAGTGACAGAGCAAGATTCCATCTCAAAAGAAAAAAAGAAAAGAAAAAGAACTTTAAATTAGCTGAGCATGGTGGCACATACCTGTAGTCCCAGCTACTTAAGAGGCTGAGGCAGGAGGATAGCTAGAGCTCAAGACTACAGTGAGCTGTGATTGCACCACTGTGCTCCAGCCTGGAGTGAGACCCTGTCTCAAATCAATCAATCAATCACCTACTTACATAGAAACAAAATATACTAGTAAAAGTCTATGGCTATCTCTTAATATATTAAATGATTCTGAGTACCTCTGATAGACAAGATTGAGTTCTTCATGGAATTTGAATTTATAGTTATTACAAGTATTTACTAGTTCATACTGGCTTTCCCAAATATTTTCATTTGGTGATTTTTATCTTGTTCTTAAATATCATAAGCTATCTACACAACAGAGGAGCTTACACAAACTTCTAATCCAAAGTAAACCTTTATCTTTTAATATTTTGCTTCTTTGTAAGTAGTTTACATTTGTATCATATCTAGATAAATATAAGACAAAGACATGCATTTACCTAGTTTTATCCAATTCTGGGAAATGGGATCTTACCTATGCTAGTAATATAGGGTTTAGTTCACATTCATATACTTGTCTATAACCTTGAGCTTGATGCTGTTTGAAGAAAATACAAAGAGATTTTGAAAATGAACCTATAATGTGGAATTTTATTTTACAGTTAACTTGAGCTGAATTTGTAAATTATGTTAATCTTAACATATTTGTGGCCTACTTTATACTTAGTATTATAGAGACTTAAATATGAGCAATAATAAATTAGTACTTATGGCCGGGCGTGGTGGCTCATACCTGTAATCCTTGCACTTTGGGAGGCCAAGGAGCAGGGATCACCTGAGGTCAATAGTTCGAGACCAGCCTGATCATCATAGAGAAATCCCATCTCTAATAAAAAAAATAAATAAATAAAAATAAATAAATAAATTAGCATTTATGTAGTACCTTTTACGTAAAAGCACACGATGTATATTAACTTTTTCAGTCCTCATAACCACCATGGAATAAGAGGATCTCTAGCTTAAAAGAACAAATTAAAAACTAGGAACAAATAACTATTCAACAAAAACATAAGCCCTTATGAAGCTTACTGTCTAATTGATGGGACAGGCGTTTATTAATCATTATGTGAATAAATATGTATACTATAAGGCAGGGGTACCCAATCTTTTGGCTTCCTGGGGCCACATTGGAAGAAAAATCATCTCGGGGTCCACATAAAATACACAAACAGTAATAATAGTGGATGAGCTAAAAAAAAAAATCACACACAAAAATTCTCATAATGTTTTACGAAAGTTCATGAATTGTGTTGGGCCACATTCAAAGCTGTCCTGAGCCACCTGGGCTACATGCGCCTTGTGGGCCCTGGGTTCTACAAGCTTCCAAGGAAAGCCAGGGCCTGAGCTGGTTTGGGGAGCAGGAAAATCTTTCCTCAGACGTGACGTTTGAGCTTTGGTCTACAGGATAATTAGGAGTTGCGTAGTTTTTTCCCCTGACACCAAATATGTCATTCTAACAGCAACTAACTCTGACCCCAGTAAGTGTCCCACAGTTCCATTCTAATACTACTCAGAGTTAGTGTGGACCCCATAAATTAAGGGCTCAGTCTCACAAGACTGCCCCCCCCCCACACTTCAGACTTCGGACACTAGCTGCGAATTGAGTCTCCAGGCTACCTGTACTGCTCAGCTGACTACAAATGTGGGGGTTCCCACCTTCCCAAGCTTTGATAATTCACTGGAGTAACTCACAAAACTCACAGAAATCACTATATTTTTGATGACAGGCTTATCATAAAGGATACAACTCAGTCAAGTGGAAGAGACGTGTAAGGCATCTCTTGGGGAATGAAGAGATATGCAGTGGGGTGTGAAGAGTTTCTATACTCTAGGCAGATACTTTGATGTGTTCACCAACCTGGAAGACCACCAAACCTTATGGTTCGAAAACTTTTATTAAGGCTGTATTACCTAGGCATAATTGATTAAATCAGTGGCTATCGGTGATTAAATCTCCAGCGCCTTCTTCTCCCCAGAAATTGAGATGGGGCTGAAAGTTTTAACCCTCCAATCCCATAGTTGATTTTTCTAGATACCAGTCTGGGTTCTTAAGCACCAACAGTCATTGGCATACAAAAGACACTTAGCACTCTGGGAAATCCCAGGGTTTTGGGAGCTCTGTCCCAGGAACCAGGAACCAGGGACCGTGACCAAATATTTATTATTTATTACAGCACAGGAGTTTAAATGGCCTCTGGACAGCCAGAGAAACTTGTTAATCAGAT